TCCTTTCACAATTTGAAAAAAAAAAAAAACCCCATTAAAAAAAAAAAAAAAAAGAGATTTTTAGAGGCAGGCGGACTGAAAAATGCAGTGTCCAAAGTAAGTAGTAAGTGGGAACCAGAGCTGTCCTGAGGAAGGTATTCCTTTACTTTCAGTTATTGTGTGGGACTGTTTACGTTCAAAGATAGTGTATCTTTGATGAAGGAGTAAATCACCAGATACATATTTTTTCAACTGTGACAGGGCAATTGCTCCAGGTAAAATGGTCAGGCCGAAACAACCTCTATTCTCTCAGGATTTTGGGCACACACACACACATGTGCCTGGCATGTTTCTGAAGCTGCTGGGCCCAGGACACAAACCATGCAGTCAGCCATGTGGGTTCCAACCACCTTTACCAGTACACCACTGTCTAGTCCAAATAAATACATGATATTTACATGTAAAAATATTATTGAATGTCTGTATAGTTTAACTGTATGCTATGTTTTCTCTCACTTAAGTGTCAAAACTTTAGGAGGAATCATTGTCCTTATTTTGCTCAGATTCATAAAGGACAGCTGAGCATTCATCACATGTTTTCACGGTCAGATGGAGTCAAAATTATGCTCACCAAGAACTCTGGCATGAGAAATATTAGCCCAGTCATGGAGATAGATGACATTGTTCTGACAGCTGGATTCTGGTTGTCTCATCTGTTTCCAGGACTGATATGTCATGTGAGTCATTCAGGCCCTTTGTTACAGAAGGAGCGTGTGAATAGGAAGGATCTCCAGAACAAATCAATGAATGAATGAAAAGACCTTCTGACATGCCCCTTGGAGCAAGTAAATAAATAACAGATAAAATGTATTTGCACATGTGCAATAAACCATATGCAATAGAAATTGAAAATATAAAAAAAGATTATAACATATGAAAAACAAATTTATAACTAGGAATTAAAGCATCTTGAAGTGTTATACAAAATAACCTTTGCAGATTCTGTGCCTTCCTTTTCAGAGAAGGAATAAATGACCTGCCTAGGAGAAGAAGCATCATTATAGGTATTATTAGGGAATCTTAGCTGTGACCGGTATTTCTGCATATGAAGTTAGTTGTGGCCCCCTAAAATAGCTGTAAGGCCATCTGTAAGAAGGGGAGATTCTGGTCAAGTATGATCCATCATTTTTTCTTCGTAGAATGGAGGAGTGTTTATATTTATGGGGCAGTTTTGTCATATTCTTCATGATATCTGGGAGTCCTCATAAGAGAACATGAAAAAAAATTGGTGATTCAATTCAAAATCTAGCATTACTGTAAGTCTTTTTATATTTTTTTATTGGGGGGGGTTGTCTTAGGGTGCATGTGCTTGCTGGAAAGGAGAGAGACAGAGTTTCAGAGAGAGGGAAAATGAGAAATAACTGCCCCCCCCAAGGGGGGGATTGCCATACCACTGTCCCTTCTTCTCCCTTCTCCTCAGGATTTTGGGCACACATGTGCACATTCCTGGTGTGATTTCAAGTCACCACATCCCAGCCTTGAACCATAGTC